CCCGGCCAGGGACGGAGGTGACAAGTAGGCCTCGCAGACATAGTGTGAGGGCCACAGACATCCCCCACTCTGCTCATCCCACCCAGGGCCCCTGTCACTCTGCCTACAGTGGTGGCCTTTAGAAATGTCAAACTCTTGGACTGCAGTTCTCCCAAGGGACTCTGGGAATGGAAGTAGTGAGTATAGGAAGGAAGAGAATGTTGGCATAACTTAGGCCCCTTCCTCACACCGCTGAGAAGCTCACCCTTTCTCCTCAAAGGGACACTGGGAGGTGGCCCTATCTTAATGCAGGGAAAAGCTGAGGCCTAGGAACTTGCCGAAGGGAAAGGCAGAACCTCGTACATAGTCCAGCTGTCCTCATTCCTCCAGGCCCATGGTGCCCATGGCAAGCTGGGCTAGGAGCGTCTGACCACCAGCTCCAGATTCTCCCTGGTCCCTTTCCTGGCTTTGGGTAGCCTTTGGGTCCAGGCTGTTGTTTGGCTCCCCTCCAGGCCTGAAAGAACAGCTCCTAAATGACTGTGTCCTGAGGCACCTGGGCTAGGGAAGAGTCCTGGAATTGGCCTGACCAGCCATAGTCCTACACACACACACACACACACACACACACACACACACACACACAGAGAGAGAGAGAGAGAGAGAGAGAGAGAGAGAGAGAGCTCGCAGAGCAGAAGACTTTATTATTTTCAAGACAGTGCCTCATATATTCCAAGTTGACCTCAAATTTACTATTACCTAGGATGACCTTGAACTTCTGATTCTCCGGCCTGCATGTAAAGATTACAGGCCAAAACCACTAGTGCTGGGGATCGAACCTGGGACTTAATGTAAGCTAGGGAAACACTACTGAGCTACATTCCCAACCCAACAGCGGGGTGTCATGTACAGAACCACTTGTCCCCAGGCAGGACGCTGTACCTCAGTTTGATCATCATACCTGGTGAAAGATAAACCCTATAATCACAGATGGAGAAACCCAGACTCAGGGAGAATAAACTCCCTGAGGTCATTCATCGGATAAGTGCACTTGCTAGGATTGGGGCTAGGTACCTGTGGCCCAAAGCTCTTTGAAACTCTGACCCCGGGTTATCCCCATTACACAAATGCAGAGGTGTCAGCAGGGGCCAGACCAGCACAGGGCACAGTGAGAACCAACAAGGACTTTTTCGGGGAACTTTTCCCATTGAAAATCTGTTCCCTGGCAGGCACGGGTGATGTATGGTTGGAGCTGATGAGAAACGTGCGGTGGAATGGAGACCGCCGGCGCAGGCGGCCCACGAGGGGGCAGCGCGGCATTGAGATTCCACCGGGCTCAGGGGGCGGCACAGGCCCTGACACGGGCCGGGTAATTGATCTGGAGGTGCCAATTTGCAGCAACTAAATATTTGGTTTCTGCTTCTGCCTGCTCCACGCTCTGCTCAAACAAACTTCAATTAAAAGCGAAAAGCATGTGTGGGGAGGCAGCGCGCCAGGGTCCCAGCGACCAGATCGATGGCATCCAGCCTGTGGGCTGCTAAGCGCCTAACGGTGGGGCGGGAGGCACCGCCTATGAAGGCAGAGCCGGCGCCCTCTTTCGGATCATTGAGCACTGGGCGCATGGCCCAGGAGAGACAGCGCCAGAGGGGGCCGGGGGAACCTCAGAGTCACTAGAGCCCAGGAACACCAAGCCATGGTCACACACAGGACCAGCCCCACACCTCCACCCCGATGTCTGAGCCTGCGCACCGGAGCTGAGGCCTTTGGAAGAAGGGCTCTCTGGGCGCTGACACTGATTTTCGGACGCATCTCAGCAGAGGAATTTTGAACACAGCCTCAACTGTGTTTTCTCTGCATTTTCTTCCAGAGTCCCAGTTTCATTTTCGATGCCCGCGGCTGCCCAGCATCTCTACCATTGGGTGGGCCAGAGAGCTGTAGGTGAACCGTCCCAGACTCATCCCAGGAGGAGCAGGAGAGGGGTTTTGAAGTCGGGGCAGTAGCTATAGCATGGAGAAGAGGCTGGATCATGGACCACTTGTCACTGATCTCTTGGGGTTCCAGACAAATGGCCAGTCAATGGAGACTGACTGGGGTTTACAAACTAGTTTTTGCCCCCTCGGGATCTTCCAGTCCTTTAGGGGAGACGTCCCATGGTAGAAAAGGGGTACTCGGGTGGGAGAGGGAGGCAGAGGCTCTGTGGCAGGGGCAGGCTGAAGGGTGGCTGAAGACGGGTTCTGGAGGACTGAGGGAGGGAGGGAGTGGGGATGGAAAAGTGGCGTCCAAGTGGGTGCCTGTCTTGACAGATGGAGTGAAGGCTACTTGGTGTCCTCCTTAGGAGGCAGCTTAGGAGCCAGAGGCGGGGCCCATGGCAGATCTTCTGGATTGGAATCCCATTGGCTAAACCAGGCTATTCCAAGCTTTCCCTGCTCCCCCATGGAGCCTAGGTATCACTCCTGAGTTCTGATATACTTACCCTGGGGCTCCTTGGCTGGGGCTGGCCGTGGAAGTACAGGTTCGTTTGGCCAGTGAGGACTTCAGTTTCTAGGCCCTCAGGAAGATCTTGTAGGGTCCCCTGGGTGCCACCTATCTCAGCCTCTAGTTCTCTCTGGAGTTGTTTTCTATCTTCATCTCCAGACAAACTCCTTGAGGCACAAGCTTCACCCCAGGGATGATCCTCACCGGTCTTTAGCCTCTGAGTTTCTCTACAGCTTGGGGCTCCGATCTCCCCACCAAAACAAAACAAAACAAAGAACTGGATCCAAAGCTCTAAGTGAGACTGAGGAAGAGCCCAGGGCTGAAGTGTCCCCAAGAGCCATTCAGCCCCTCCCCATGCTGCCTGCCAGGGGGTTGGGAGGGAAGGGGGAGCTGCTGCTACAGGCTCCCTGCCTTCAGCCTCTTCCCAGCCTGCAAGTCAGAGGCCTGCTCCCTCGCAATCCCCCCCCCCCCAGGGCTGAGCTGTGGAGCAGAATGATTTCCTGTAATTGGCCAGCAATCCGGCCGCCCGACTTGTTCTATCGACATGCTGGTTAGTTGGAAATTGTATTGGAATCTGAGCGAAGGGGAAGGGAGGGGAGGAGGTGGTAGGGAGCAAGGAGAGGCAGCTTTGGGTCCCAGCTGGGTGCTGCTTTAGCTCAGGGCGGAATGTAGGAGCCATCAGCCAAGCTCTCCCTTCCCTGAGCAGAGCAGGAAGGCAACGTAGTACATCTCATCACCTCCTTTACTTCTAGCGTCGTCAAGGGTCTCCAGTGGCCATCCCTGTGACCCCTCATCTGTGATCATTTCTACCATCCACTCCTGGAGCTCAAGTGTCTTTGTGAGAATGAGGAATACTCGGGAGAAAGACACCATCCCTCTCCCATACAAACGGTGCCGGTTACTGCTGGATGAAGGTGTTATTGAGAGGCACACAGTGGGAATCCAGAAGGACGGTGGTCACAGCATGCGGTTACATCCACCTCCACCTCTGAAACCTCTGTAAAATTCTGCCCACGTCACTCACACTTGAAGACAATGGAGACTGTGCTTTGTAAAGTGCAAAACTGTGAATTAACCTTGGGCAACTTGGACCAGGGGAGAAAAGGGCTTTAGGGGACTGGATGCATCCTTCAACCCTTGCCAAGAGGCAGGTGAGCATGTGGTACCCACGGCATCCTATTGTGTGCAGTAAGTAGGTTGAAGCCCAAGCTGGAGACTGTGGTCCACAGGCTGGAGGAAGAGGGGGAGAGGTAAGACCTGTGAAGTTCAAACTGGTGTCTGACCCCGATTATCGATTTAGCTTCTCTAATGCTGGGATTACTGGCATACTACCACACCCAGACCCCATTCCGTCTGCATCTTCTTTCTCTTTTGTTGTTTTCTGCTTTGTTCTTCTTTTTGAGACAGGGTTTCTCTGTGTAATGGTCCTGGCTGACCTGGAACTGGCCTTGAACTCAAAGAGATCCACCTGCCTCTGCCTCCCAAGTGCTGAGATTAAAGGCATGCACCACCACCCAGCCCATTTGGGTCTTCTTAATGAAGGTCAGTGATTGAAATGATCTACCACCCTAAGATAGTTAAGATCCCTGCTTGGGTGAGTGCTGCCACCTGCTGGCCACAGAGGAGGTCACCTACTCTGGAGAAGCTCTGTGTTCCAATTAGACAGGCACTGAGGTCAAGCAGGAAAGCAGACCTTTTTCCAAAGCCACCTTGGTCAGTAGGTCAGAAGGGAGGGAGACTGGGGAGGAAGGCAGCTGTCAGGGCCCGTGCATAACCGTATTGGTTTCTGCACACCTTCCAGACCAATGTTCTGTTACACTTGGCATCAAATTTAGAGTGCTGGGCCAAGAAAGTAAATGAGCATCTCGCTTTGCAAAGGGTTTTAAAGGATCTTCAACTTACCATGCAGAAACCAAAGGCAAGGAGACAGAACTGGGTCTCTAACCTGGGTCTGCTGCTCCCCTGCGAGGGGACACAGGTAGAATGTGCACTTCAGGACCGGTATGACCCAGACCAAATCCCCACCATGCTCTGCAGGACTTGTACTTACTGCACACTGTGTCCAGAGCGTACAGGGGACGGTAATGGTTTCCAAGGTCACAGGGTGCTGCTCCAGTTCAGTTTCCCCCCTTGCAGGTTCTGCCCACCTGAGGGAGCGGGTAGTTCCTTCACCTCCTCCACCTCCTCGCAGCCCCTTTTTGCTGCTTGGAAATGTGCAGGGAGTTAATGAGCTGCTCTCTGAGGTTTAAGCAGCTCTGTGAAAGGGGACATTAAAAATGGCCACTGCCGCACTGGCATTAGTCACACTCATTTTTGGCCTTAATAGGCTGCTAGGAACAAGACCCACACATCAGCAGGTCTGCAGACACCGGTAGGAAGGGCTGGTGTCTGTACCGTCTAATTGGGCTGGGGAAGAAAACACAGGCCTGTGGGGTGAGTGGATGTGATCTGCCCAGCACCTCCACCCACCTCCAGAGGTGCAGACCTGGCTGGAATCTTCTGCGGAGGCCTCCTCAGTGTGAGCAGAGGCCAAGTGGGATCAGCGGACATTTAGACCAACTCCGTTTATTGAGCACCAGTGGAGGGCAGACCGCAGTGCACTAGGACAGAGATGCGTCAACCCTGCCAGCCATCTAGAGGCACACCGTCTAGGAGAAACCGGTTTCTTTCTGACTATTCTCCCTGGACTAAGATAAAACACAGGGTGCCAGGCCAGGGGCAGCCAGCGTAAGGTACTGCAGGGCTCAAAGGCAGTGGGGGGAGGCACAGAGGTCAGACAGCATGGGGGGCTGGGGAACACAGAGAGTACAGGGCTCAGAGGCGGGGGCTGCTGGGGCAGCTAAGTTGTGAGTAAAACCCCATCAGAAGCTGATTTCTCCAAAGGGCCCTGCCTCTGCCTAGCCACGGCATCCCCCAGAAAGGATTCACCCTGCACCCTGGCGAAAGGCTTCAACCCAGGAGACAGTTCTGTTTGAAGACAGCCTTCAGCTTACAAGGATTTGCTGGGGTCCACTAGGGAGTTTGTGGCCATGATATGACAGATGCTCTGAGAAGGTTCAAGCCCAAGAAACTGTTGGCTACATTGCTGTAACCATGGATAGGGCCACAGAGACTGCCGTTTTCCTGCCATTGTGGATATTGTTCTGAGGGAGCTCTAGGGGATGGTGGGGCTCTAGGGAGGGCAGGAAAGGGTACCTGACAGTGGGCTTCTTTTTGCTGAGTCCCAGACTGGATATACTCCAGAATGAGAGCACGTGTAGTGTTGAGGACATGGTACCTGACTTAGGTCTCTAAGGAGGCCTGAGGCTTGCTGCTTTAGTGTGCCCAGTTAGGGAGAAGGGAGGAGGTAACGGGTGAGCAGATAAAGGAGGCTGGCCAGGCCTGCTAGGCCTGTTAGGAACCCGAGCCTCAGTGGCAGGTACTCCATGGATCGTTCCAACTTGGCATGCAAGAGGATGACCTGGCGTCTGGTGAGGCCCCACTCCCCCGAGTTGTCTAGAACATGGTTGGCCATTCGGGCCTTGTCCTTCAGGGGCAGCTGGGAGTTGATCCTTGCTTCTGCGTCCTCACGGTTCAGGTTGTTCCTCTTCATCAGCCGTGCCAGCTGTGTGTCTCGGTCACTAGGACAGGGCAGAAGTGTTCTTTGGACCCCAGCCTCCCTCTCTGCAGCAAGACTCACAGTGGGCAGCTAGCCTGGAACACTGACTAGGACAGCATCTTCCCTTAGAAAACTCCCCTCCTGCCCGCAGCCACACAGGAGTCATGCTGTCAGGCTGAGACAGGTCTTGGAGAACAGGACTCCAGCGCTATCAACCACCCCAGACTCCCAACAAGAGCAAGCGAGGAGTGGGCCGTAGCAGCTGTTTTCCACCATCTAGGTCTTTCTATCTGTCTACTGGCCTGAGTTTTCCCTGCTATAAAATGGGAAGATTTTTACCACTCAGGTCTTTGTCTGCAACTTAAACAGTCAAAGCCAGACATAAGTGTTTCCTTTGTGAAAGTTAACCTTATTACATAGAGGCTGTAGTGGGCAGAAAAGACATCCAGCTTTAGTCAAGGCATGTCTGTGGCTGAGGAATCTACAAGACGATGGAGCTGGCTAGCAGTTGCTTGGGAGTGCACTCTTCGAAAGGAGTGGTAGAGCCTCCCGGGATGCACTGGATGCAGTACCAACAGCCTTCCTAGGGCTGTGACAGCGAATGCTGGACTCTGTTGATGGCTGCGTTCTTTTTTTTTTTTTTTTTTTTTGGTTTTTCAAGACAGGGTTTCTCTGTAGCTTTGGAGGCTGTCCTGGAACTCACTTTGTAGACCAGGCTGGCCTCGAACTCACAGAGATCCGCCTGCATCTGCCTCCCTAGTGCTGGGATTAAAGGCGTGCGCCACCTACGCCCGGCTGATGGCTGCGTTCTTTACTCAATTTACAAGTCAATTTCTCAAAAACATTAAGGATCACATTTACGTACAATCACTCTTCAGGAAGCGGTCCATGCTGGCTCACAAGGTACAAGCAAATAATCTAACCTTCCCCTTTCTGATCCCTACATATATAGGTTTTTGCTTTCGGGTTTTTTGAGACAGGGTTTCTCTGCATGTAGCCCTGCCTGTCCTGGAACTCACTTCTGGATTCTATTTTCATCACCACAAAAAACAAGCAAGGGAGAGACTGGGGGTTTATGTGGGGAAGCACAGCCCTGTGGAGGAACTGAGAGGCTCAAGGGATTCTCACTGAGTGGCAGCCATGAGAGATCTGAGTAAGGAAGGGTAGGGCAATTCTCAGGGCACTGAGCGTTCCAGTGTACTAGGAGCCTCCCACACATCGATCCCTTGAGAACCACCTTGTGCCTAAAATACCTGCAGAGCCAAGGCCCTCCTATGTCTGCTACACTTGTGACATCTGGGAAGTTTCTGAAAAGCAGAGACACCCTGCAGCCTTGTCTTGTCTCTCACCGGCAGGGACTGTGACTCATTTCTCTGGCAGCTTAGTTCTTCTGTTTGCCAAACCTAGACTGACTTGCTTCCTGTTCTGGGGGATTCTGAGAAGAAAGCTCCTTTCTTAGATTCTTCTGCTGACTGCATCCACACAGCTCTCTACCCACAGGTGCTCCCAATGGGTGATCTCCAACATTCTGCTCTCTATTTGTGAGTGCTCCCACTGGGTGATCTCCAACACATTCTGCTCTCTATTCGTGAGTGCTCCCAATGGGTGATCTACAACACATTCTGCTCTCTATTCGTGAGTGCTCCAAATGGGCAATCATGAACACATTTTGTAACTGCCTCCACTTCCATTTCCCTGTATAATTCAGAAGTGTCCCTCTGACATGAATACTTTCTACTGAAAAGTGAGAATGAGGCTGTAAACATGGGAAGGTTTGGGAAGCTGTGAAGTGCTCTAGGATGAGGGTGGCCAGAGGCAAAACCAGACAGCTCAACTGACATATCTCCAACAGCCAGCAGGGGGAGCCCTTCCCAAACACTAGCGAAGCCTGGGAACCACCCCCAACTCATACCTGCCCCAGGCGCATGCATCAGGATCCGGTACAAAAGTTGGTTTGTGTAAGCTTGGGTTCCACTACCCCAACTCACTTTGTGCCTTGGCCACCCATGGGAAAAGTGTAAAGGAATGTTTCCCAGGGACATCTTACCCTAGGTGTCCTTTCCAGTCCCAACGACCAAGATGTGTGTCACACTTACCAGTACACGACCACTGTGTGCTTCATGTACTTGAGTAGCTTCTTGGTCTCAAACAGGAGGGGGATGTCCAGGATCACGTAGCGGTACCCTGGGGAGAGGATGCAAAACTCCCAAGTTCAATTCTGCAAGGACACCAGGAAGGATGCTTGTGACCAGCCCAACACAGAGAATGCCCCAGCAGATAGATGGGAGACCTTCCAAGGACAGACATACCCTGAGTGCCAGCCATTCAGAGCAGAATGCCGCAGAGAATAAGTTCTGGCTGGCTGACCAGGGAAGACCTTGGAGAAGGACTGGCATTTGCACTGCTTTGCAAAGCAGGGAGGATGTGGACACTCAGGATGAGAAGGTGGAGGCAAGGAGTTCCAATGAGGACCAGCAGAACCCAGGAGCTGGGAGGTTCTGTGCAGACCAGGCAGGGTCTGGAGCACAGTGCATCAAAGACTAGGTGGTCTGGATCAACTTTGACCTTCAACCCCAAAAGTTATTTCTAACCCAAGACAAGACATAGCCAGGGTTGTAGGCAACTGGGAAGTTTCTGAGAGACGCTGAGTCCCTTCTGCCCTATTTCATCTTACACTGGCTCAAAACACCCAAAGCACAGGCCCTTTCCTGGAAGGCAGGTCCAGACATGGCTGCCTTTTAAAGAGACCCATAGCTACCTCTGTGGCTCTCTGTGAGAGGCCTGTACTATCCCAGAGCAGTGAGGGTGGTTCAGTTAACCACAGGGTTCCCTCAGTGGAGAAAGGGCACTTCGGACCCTCCCAGTGTCCAGGCTGGAGAGAGGTGATGTGCTCTCACACCATGAATGGGCACATTCCTCAGTCATGTGCACTCCTGCTGCTCCTTGGGCCCTGTGTGGACAAACCAAGTTGGAAGGGGTACAAGGCAGCAGACTAAGGACAGGGACAGATGCTGCTCAGAGACCAGGGGCCTGGATGGTATCTCAGTCCAGACACTATCAACCGCAGACACAGACACAGACACAGACACAGACACAGACACAGACACAGACACACACACACACACACACACACACACAGAGAGAGAGAGAGAGAGAGAGAGAGAGAGAGAGAGAGAGAAGCCTTGGTTGATGAGGGCATGGGGTTCCCCAGCCCTGCTAACACGCCCGAGTCTGTAGCACCCCATGGGACCCCAGGGCCTTAACAAAACTAATATGTGTAATGAATGAAAGGAACCCCTGCTTCACAGGGTGATGAGCAAGATGACACAAGCTCTGAATGCACACGACACTGAGCAGCAGCCAAGCCCTCAGCTAAGTGGCCTCTAAATGATAGGTGTTATTGCTATTGTTCCTGGAGGAGGGAAGCTGGCATTAAGCCTCTCCACCGCCCATTTCACCCTCTCCAGCTCAAAGACAGGAAAAACTCGGATTCTCCCCGGGACCTCTTATCTCCCTTTCCTGTTCCTCTCCCTCCCTCCCTCCCCTCTTACTGTCCTTTCTCTTGGGTCCCTCTTGGGAGCTGGAAGCCAGCTCTATGGTTACCGGTAAAGGGCTATTCAGCTGTCAGGCCTCTCCTGCTTGATAAGCCCTGAAACTGTCCTGACTCTATTAAGACATCCGCCTGCCTACGCAGAGACCTCCCCAACAGCTGGTGATCTTATCTGACGTTTGATTCTACCAACTTTGACAGTTGTATTTGTTATACTCATCAGGGAGAAGCCAGGACTGTGAAAGCCACAGCTGTCGTCCCCGTTTTTTACCTTATCGAACTGAAAAGAGATTTCTGGCTTTTAGCTAAGGGGTGGTGGTTGGGGAGGGGGTGGATGACACAACAGGAGAGCTCTGGAACTGGTGACATTATCCAATGCTCAATTTGAGAGGGAGGGAGGGAGCCACTGGTGCCTCGCAGCCCTGCAAATGTGCTGAGAGCTGGCCGGGGACAAACGCAAAGGGCAGGAATGAAAGGCAGAAGGGAGCCAGGCAGGGGTGGGACAGGGGAGCAGTGCCATAGTGGACTGGCAGACACTGGGGGAGGACAAAGGCAGAGTCCACACTCTTCTTGAGGGAAGTGTCTCGGGGACAAATGACAGGAAGGGTTACAGCAGCAGGAGCTAGGAGCCAGCTCCAGCCTTCCCAGCACTTTAGGGACTGAAGGGTAGGTGTGGGTCAACAGCAGAGCTGCTTTTCACCACAACCTTTTAGAGGGAAGCACTGTTGAGAGAACATGTTAGGGAGAGGGCTCTTGCTCTGTACACAAGAACCTGAGGCATGAAGGCAAAGGGCCTGGCCATGGTTACAGTGGGAAACCTTGAAGACAACCAAAATGGATAAGCATACTCGCCAGGAAATAGTCCCCACATTAGGACTAATGGGGGAGCTAGGCCACTAGCCTTTACTTAGGGGCGCAGACTACAGGCCATATATACCAAAGGCTAGTAGGAAGTCTCTATGCCAATAAATCGTGTGAACTCAGCAGCCTAGATAACCACTACCCTACCCTGGAGTGCTTCAATAGAGAAAGGCTTTGGAAGGAGGTTGTCCGCCTCCTTCAGCTCACAAGTCTAGAGTCTCACCTCGGAGAAAATACTTGAAGGTCTCCTTCATCATCTCCTTGCGGATCTCAGGGTGGGTGATGGAGTTGAGTAGCTGCCGACGGTCAGGCTGGTTAAAGATCAGGTCTCCCAGGACCTTGCGGTCAATGTCACCATTCTCCAGCAAGACTTCAGTGCCAAAGGCCTCTACAATACGCCGGTGAGCAGGATACCCTGGCTGGACCACTGTGGTATGAAGAGGTTGGATTATTCCAGAGCCTCCAGCTGTCCAGAAGACCCCAAGTGACCAGAGGCAAACTGATGGGGGACCAAAGGCTGTTCCCCTCAACTGGAGCCAAAATGAACTGAGGGAATGAGCAAAGCACACAGGACCCTCAGCCAGGGATGGACTGTGTTTAGGGAGACGGGACTCTTAGGGAGAAGGAGGAATAAGTAGAGAAGCAGGAGCAGACGGGCAAACCGGCTAGGACAGCCTCACTCTCAGAAGGTCCAAAGAGGACAGAAAGAGGAGGCTTCTGGAAGAAAGGAAGCACAAGGAGACTACTGTGTGCAACGGGTCCCCTCCAACTCACCGTGCCGAGCAATGACATCCACATCAATCACAGCACAGCCCAGCTGTTGGAACACCTGGAGGACGGAGCTCTTGCCTGAGGCAATGCCTCCCGTTAGGCCCACCAGGAACATCTTCCCAGGAGAGAGAAGACAGGCAGAGCAGGAGCCAGAAGGCACTGGACAGTCAGCACACTTGCCAATCAGCTGCTCCACCAGGCTGGAAAACCTGTTGTCAAGAGATATTCAGGGAGACAGTAGGTTAGGCAGGGCCCAGTCCTGAGCTTGGGGAGCTCTGGGGCTGCTGCTGAGAAGAAATTTCCAGTACTGTGTGTGTCGGTATGGGCTGGACACTGGGGCCGGGTGCATGCTAGTCAAGCACTGCTCCAATAAGCTATTCTCCAGGGGCTCCCTAATGCATCCTTATAGCCTTGAACTTGCCATCCTTCTGATTTAAGTTTACAGGTACCTGGGATTAAATAAAGGTCCACGCCACCATTCTCAGTTTCTTTAAATCTTTTTTTACACCTTTATTTTATAGTGTGAGTATACATCTTTCTTAGCAGGGCTTGAAATCCATCAGGACTACTTTTTTTTTTTTGGTTTTTCAAGACAGGGTTTCTCTGTGGCTTTGGAACTTGTCCTGGAACTTGCTCTGTAGACCAGGCTGGCCTCAAACTGACAGAGATCCGCCTGCCTCTGCCTCCCGAGTGCTGGGATTAAAGGTGTGCACCACCACGGCCTGGCTTCATCAGGACCACTTTTGTTAACCTGCGAATTTATTGTCCTAATCACTCTTTGCTTGTGTTCACATGGAAATGAGTTTGCTCTCCTGAACACAAACCACAAGGGGAGAAAGGGGGAGATACAGGACGCAGTCACTTGGGTGTGAAACAGGACAGCAAGAAACCAACCTACAGGTTTACATCTGCTTAGCTCATTCTCACATGGGTCGGGGCACAGAGAGGCAAACATCTACCATAGACTCAAACTAACCAATGGCACATTTTAAAGGTTAACCTGAGGATACTGTCACCCCCAAGCAGTCTCCCTGTCATCAAAAGGGAGTTAAGGACAAGGTTCAACTGTATAAGGGAAATGTGGACCGTTCGGCTGAAGCCATGTGGTAGAGAATGTGGCGTCGGTGGCTGGGTCCCCATCTCTGCTGCTATCCCTCAAGCACGGCTTCTCAACTAGACATGTCAGTACAATCCTACAATCCAGCATCTAGGACATCAAGGACAAGAAGACTGAGCTATGTGCTGAGTCCCAGGACAGACTGAACCACAGAGTGGGACTTTACCTCTAAACGAGAACATAACCAAAACAAGAGAAGGGCTGCGGGACCTGTGAGAGGGCTCAGCAGGTGAAGGTGTCGCCTCTAAGCCTGACAACCTAAGTCCAACACCTGGGGCCTACACGTGGAAGGAAAGAACTAAGAACTGACATTCTCAAGTCGTCCTCTGCCCTCCACATGTGCACACACTTTTTTTTTTTTTTTGGTTTTACAAGACAGGGTTTCTCTGTATTGTTTTGGAGGCTGTCGGTCCAGCCCGGCCTCGAACTCACAGAGATCACACTTTTTTTTGTTCTCTGACCTCCACATGTCCACACACAGACACTTTTCTTATGCAAGTAATTTAAGACAATAACTACAACAAAACTCACAAAGTGGTTCCAATATGTTTCTGGCAGTTTTTGCCCATGTCATGACTTCCACATGCCATGATGCTTTTCAGTGCCAGCAAACCCTGCTGAAAACACCTATGTGACACTGCTGTGTTATCAACTCAGAGTTATCTGCTCATACAGAAACACAGTGGTTTAAGTACAAAGAAAAAAAAAGAGTATTTTCCTACTGTCATTCCTTGGCATTTAAATATTACATTAGTAAACCAAAATGTTTGATTTTAAAAATTGCTGTTTGAGTTGTTGACTTGAGTTTCATTTTTGTTTTTGTTTTTTTTTTGTTTGTTTGTTTGTTTTGTTTCGAGACAGGGTTTCTCTGTGGCTTTGGAGGCTGTCCTGGAACTCCCTTGGTAGTCCAGGCTGGTCTCGAACTTACAGAGATCCGCCTGCCTCTGCCTTCCGAGTGCTGGGATTAAAGGCGTGTGCCACCAACGCCCGGCTTTGAGTTTCATTTTTAAAACATATGAAATGAATTTTGGCGGAATTAAGGTAGAATTTCCAACAACTTCTAAAATAGCCCTACACATACCTGCACCATTTTATACTATATACTCATGTAAAACAGTTCTCAGAATTGATGATCAGAAATCAAAGTATCAATCAACTCTGAAAAATACTGAAGATGACCTATACCCTATAATATCAAATATTCAACCTTGACTTAATTTAATTCTTGCTTAGTGTGGTGTACTGCTGTAGCCCAGCATCCAGGAAAAAGAGGTCAGAGCACTGTCACAAATTTGAAGTCAGCCTGGTGTACATAGCAAGGCCCTGTCTAACAAGGGAAAGAAAGGGTTGGAGAGATGGCTCTGGGGGTAGGAGCAGCTGCTGCTCTTACAGAGGAACCAGGTTTGATTCCTAGCACCCACATGGTGGTTCACAATCACCTACAACTCCAGTTCTAAGGATTTGACGCCCTCCTCTAACCTCTGCAGGCACTAGGTACACACCTGGTATAATAGATATAGTACAACAAAACACATTAAAACCAAAACCAAAGAGTTAATGATTTATGTAGAAACAGTGCATCCACTGGCCTACCAAAGAAGTGTTTTGTGCACCTTCATTTCCTTAGTCATTCTGCTGGCCTTAAAATAAATTTCTTGATTACTGCTACTAATACCCATGCCCCAGAGTCACATTCTGGTGAAAAGGGGGTTTGGATAGAAACATTTCAAGAAGTCCTGCTCTAAAACAAGCAAGGTCTGTCCCATCTCTCTTTTCCTCAACACCAGCTGAGTGGGGGAGTGGGACTTGGAAGACCATCTAGCCAAGGTGACCTCAACCCCTCTTCACAGAGCCACCCAGACCCCTCCTGAGAATGGAATGGAATACAGTCTTTGGGGATGGAGGATCCTCCGTGATTCTGGTATATGGCAGTGCTCAGAATAGATCCTAGCTCTTCATTTACTATAGTACATGAAGGACAGCAGAGGAAGGGCCTGCCCAAGCTAGCTTTGAACTCACTATATAGCTAAGGATGACCTTGAATTCCTGATCCTCTCAAGTACGGGGATTATAAGTATGTACATGATTCCCGGTAGCTTATTTCTTGATTATCATTCTGTTTTTGTGGTTTTTTGAGCCAGGGTTTCTCTGCTTAACAGCCCTGGCTGTCCTGAAACTCACTCTGTAGACCAGGCTGGCCTTGAACTCACAGAGATCTGCCTGCCTCTGGCTCCCAAGCACTGGGATTAGACTGTTTTGCTCTACAGAAAGAGAACCGATGACCAAAACACAGATGTAAAGTGCAAGCTCCTGTGGCACTGAATGGGCAGCCACCCTTTCCAGTGCCTTGGACTTCCGTCTGTGGGAACAACCAGACTCTGCCTCCACAAAGATGACTGAGGGAACAGAGGAACACATGCACGGGAGGCGCTCGGCTGCTGGCTTGATGAGGATGGATAAGAACCAGCTGTTCCTGTACAGCAAGCCTTTGGTGACTCATTCCCTCACCAGCTGTTGACTGAGCTCCTCTGTGCCTCACAGCCATGTGCCAGGGACCTCTCAGACAACCCCACAGTCTGCCCTGTGGGGAAACAGGAGACAGACAAGAACAAATGAAAACAGCTGGAAGCAACAGAGTGCCAGCGGGGAGCAGGAACGGTTAGGTGACACTGGTCCTGGTCTGGACCAAAAGCCCCTTTTGCACTCTAGGTTATCCAAAGATTAGGCTGGGCCAGGATAGGAAGCTGAAGCTAGAGCCCACTGTCCTTCCAAAGCCTCGCAAGGCAGAAAGCAAATTTATACCAAATTCCTCCAAGTGTCACTCAAACTTGCCAATAGTTCCCCCAGCACACATGGCCTTTAACAAACTTTGTTGGCAACCAAGCCATTATTTCCCAGAATCTACCTCACTTACCCTGTTGAACTACTGCTGAAGCAGAACCTCAAAGTCACCCCTTAGCCTGGCCAAGTCTAAGTTCTCTGCAAACCTTTCCAAAAAAGATGTAGAACCCAGCCTGGACACCAGCCCTAAATAGAAAACAGCCAGGCAGCTGGGCATTGTGGCACATGCCTTAAAATCCTGCACTTGGGAGGCAGAGGCAGGTGGATCTCTGTGAGTTTAAGGCCAGCCTGGTCTACAGAGTGAGTTCCAGGACAGGCAGGACTGTTACACAGAGAAACCCTGTCTTGAAAAACAAAAGCAAACAAAAAATTACATGTATTGACCAGGCATGGTGACTCACTTTTTTGTTTGTTTTTTTCGAGACAGGGTTTCTCTGTATTGCTTTGAAGCCTGTCCTGGAACTCACTCTGTAGACCAGGCTGGCCTTGAACTCACAGAGATCCACCTGCCTCTGCCTCCCAAGTGCTGGGACAGCTAGAGCTACTTAGTAAGACCCTGTCTCACACAAAACAAAAGTTACATGTACGTCTGTGTATGTGTGCAGGTCAGAGGACAGCTTAAAGGCTGGCCCTCGAGCCGGGCGTTGGTGGCGCACAACTTTAATCCCAGCACTCGGGAGGCAGAGGCAGGTTGATCTCTATGAGTTCGAGGCCAGCCTCCAAAACAATACAGAGAAACCCTGCCTCAGAAAAAAAAAGGCTGGCCCTCTCCTACCATGTCGGTCCTGAGGATAAACTCAGGTTGTCATGCTTAGCAACAAGCACTTTACCTGATGGGCTACCCTGCTGGCCCAAGACCTGGCTGTCTCCCTCTGCAGGACCAGAGGCTGCTCTCAGCTGGCTTGACTGGAGAGCTCAAGGTCCAGAGGGGGGAAACGGGAAGCTAGTGCCAGGAATTCGGCATGGGATTCAGCAGTCAAGACAGGGCCAGGAGAAAAGCAGGACTCTGATCCCAGGGGAGCCACACTCAATGCTTCTTCCCCTCACGCTTCACGTCAGGGGAGAGACACAGATACAGAGAGAAAGGCAAGCAGAGACTTGGAGACAGCAGTGAATCCTCTATGAGCCCAAAGACCCAAGAGAGGCTCCATTGTACTGTCCTCTGTAAATAGTGGCCTCTCTCACTGCTACTCCAATATGTCCTCTGTAGTTCCCTCTTGGGCCCCAACAGCCAGAGAAGACAAGGGAAGG